TTTCTTCGTCCAAAAGTGATCTAACCAACAACTTTCTTTCTCCTAGCTATTTTTGATGGTTTTCTCTCTCATCTCTTTAAAACAAACTAAAAAATAAACAAGTTTTTCAAACTAAACTCGATCTATTTTTTCAAGTAATATAAAAGTTCAAGATCACCACTATTAATTTTGGTGTTAATAAATTTATTATAGAGAGGGGGGTTCAAAGGAGTTGGTTCTGTTTTTAAAATATACTTTAAAAATAGATCAAGATTAGTTAAATTTATTTTGTTTTGGTTTGGTTTTTAATTTTCAAATTGATTAGATGGTGTATTAAAGATGAAAATGATTTCATAGAGGTTTCTAGTTTCTTTAAAAAAAATTGAAGTTTAGATTTTAGGGTCTTAAAACTCAAACCTTGATTTTTTAACAATTAAAGATGCCAAAATTTAAATAAGAAGGCAACAGAGTGTATGCTTAGTTGGGCAACACATTCTTCTCTTCATTGAATCTGGATAAATAACATATCATATGTTCATTTTAAAATAAAAAAATAAAAAACAAGAAGCCAAGTATGCAAACTTGAGCTTCCAAGTCCATATACATCTAGTTTTGTTATCTTTTAAGCCGTCACATGAGTTGTCCTTCTAGGCCCATGTGATTTCTTTGTTAAAAAACTCTTAATATTTTTTCATTTTTTTAATTTGAGAACAAAATTATCTTTCAAATAAATTTATTAAAATGATATTTGAATAATTATCTAATTATAAATAATTTTATATTCACCTAATATGCATAATTTATTTAAAAACAATCTCATTAATATCAATAAGAAAAAAAATCTATTTTTTTTTATCTTTTTTATTGTAAACATTTTATATAATATTCTTACATCTATTGTTCTTCTATTTTTTTCTTTAATATTCATGATTGTTTTACTAAAACTTGCTTTCATGATTTCTATTTGAAAAATTATTTTTCTAATAAACAAATATTTTTCTCAACAAAAAAAAGAAGTACATGAATAAGGAAAGATAATTTTATTTATTAAAAATTTACACATTTTCCTCTTTAATTCAAATCATTTGAATTTTTGCAAATATATTCTCTTAAGTATTCATTGGTTTTTATTCAATAAATCATTTAGCTAAAAAAAAAGACATGTTATTGTAAAAAAAAATTACATGAATAAGAAAAACACATTTTTCATATAGAATTTTAAAAATTATCTTTTTTACAAGTATATTTTTTAATTTTCATATAATTAAATAAAAATATATTTTAAAAAGTTTCATGTGATAACATGTATAGTTAGTAAAAAAAAAAAAAATGTTGTAGATGATAGATGGCCAGATTTTTAATCATAGTTGGCCATTGATGTTAACCATTAAGTTTAACATAGATCGGTTCCAAATGTTATTTAACTTTAACCATTATGATTGAAGGAAAAAAACTCAAACCCTTACTTTTTAATCATGAAACATATATATATAAGCCATCTACCACAATAGATATAGGTTGTTATTTAAATTTTAATTAATACTCTTTCTCTTTGCTTTAATTTTTTATTTAGATTTTAATTAATATCCTTTTTTATTTTTCAAATGTTTACTTCATATTTATTTTTTAAATAGTAGTTAATCTTTTTAATTGCTTTTATTTTATTTTATAGTGCTTCAAATAAAATATTATAATTTATCTTTAAATCTTTTCCTTTTTATTTTATATAAATAAATTGTATTTATATAATATATTTATAAGAATAAAAGTCATTTTTTAGCAATAATAATTAATCTTCAAGATAAAATAAATAAAAATATATAAAATAAAAGAAAGATAAATGGATTATATACTCACTTATTTTCTGCTTTTATAATGCTAACACTTTTATAAATTATAAATTAATCTGAAATCCTTCATGCTGCCTAGCCTGAATTACATATTTGGTTGTTTATTAAATCTAAAAATATTTATTTTTAACTAACATTTAAATTTTAAAAATCTAATTATATTTTATTTAACTAATCAATCGTTGAATCATATATGACTATAGTTATTAAGTTTAAACCGGCCTGACAGATTGACCGAAAACTTGGTGGTGAGATCGATTTAAATTTGTTAAAATACCTGCTGGTGTAACAATTCAGCCACACCCAAATGACCTAGGAGTCGACTGATTAGTACTTAAAAGTGCATTTTTATCATGGTTTTATATCATTATTTTGTACTTGAAGTATTAATAACTCTTTAATTAAAGCATGTTTTATAATAATATATCTAATAATATAAGATATCTTTAATTTGTGGTAAATGTTCATTTTAAATGTAGGTCTATTATATAAATGAAAGGATTGATTGATGACTTTAAGAACTTAAATTGCAAAGGCAAAGAGATGACCAAAATTAGAAAAGAGATGTCGGTGCAATCCAAACTAGAATACTTTTTAGTAATTGAGTCATATTTGGAGCTATAGATCTCATATTTAAGTCTACTTTATATGGATGGAAAGGTAAGACATAGGCCTA